AAAAAAAAAAAAAACCTTGAAAATATTTACCCACCAAAATATCAAGAATTTATTTTCCTAAAAAAGTGGAAAATTTGGAAAGTTGGAAAATACTTTCCCAAAAAATCTCTCCCAAACAAGCTCTTACAAAAGTTGAAAAATGGAAAAAGTTTTCCATTTTCCATGAAAATGTGTGCTATCAAACGAGCCTTATTGATATTAAGCCCTTATTTGAGCCCCATTTTCTAAAAAAATATTTTTTAAAAACTAATTTTCAACCACACATTTTTCAATAAAATAATATTATACACAAATTCAAAATTTTTTCTTAATTTTTAATTACTCATTCTAAATCAAGCAACTATTCTAAAATGCATTATTTCTCTCAAAATAGGGCTCAAACAAGATTCTAACTTGACATCTAAGCTCAATAAAAAAGCAAGACAAGTTTAAGGCAAGTAGTAAAAATAAATGCATTGTATAATTTAATCCAAGTTTAATATAATTATAGATATATTAAACTTAAATTAATAAACAAGTTGATCATCCAAGGCGTCCAACGTACATTCCACTATAAGAAATATAGTTATTTACAATGAAAAAAATTATATTAATTGAGCAGTAAATGTAGTATTAATACATAATCTAGATAAACATGATAATTACGAGAAACAAGCTTGTGGTGTTACAACAACAAATTCCAATCTGCATTGCAGTTTGTGTCCGGTATTAATATCAACATATATCATGTTTTTCTGGTGCATGTTTCAAAAGGAGAAGCTAAGTATACACTGCAAATATTACGAAGAGATTAAAATCGAGACCCATCTATCCTGCAGAGGTACAAAATACCTTTCTTAATCAAGTAGTCACAGCTGAAGCTTCAGTTTTTCTTCTTGAGAAGGATAATTCTTTTATAACATATCTACTTGTCTCTCTGAGTCTGAGACGACAATCAGGAAATCCTCCAATGTGGCAAGAGATTTTAGCTGTCGGCCAAGAGATGCAATTGTCTTTTGGCACTCTGCAAATTTAGTAGCAGCCACTGTCAATTCTTTGTCCTGCAATCATCATCAAGCCATAGATTCCACAATTAGCAAGGAAGTTTGTATGTAATGCAGAACTTTTACCTAGTACGTGTTGACGTCAAATAGGCAAATATGGAATACATTCACCATGCAATTTGAACCTTTATTAACATAGTCCAAGAATGTGTTTGGCAAAAAACCTGATTGATTTGGAACTCGTCGATGATTGCCGATTTCTGAATCTGAGAATTCAATTCCATTCTTGAAATCTCATTTTCTAATTTCTGACACTTGACAACAATTTCCCCTGAAAAATTCCGTTCTTTCTCGACTTCTTCTTCTAAAGTACCAATGCTTGAATGCAAGGTTTCTAACTCAAGTTTGATTACTTTGAGTCGAGACTCTGCTTCTGCTTTCTTTACCTCAGTAGCCTCAAGTTCCAATTCGATCTTGTGTTTTGATTTGTTTGCATTGATTAACTGATTTTGAAATTCTACCAGAGTAACCTGTGCTTCTTCTAAAAGCTTCTCTGATTTTTTCAGTTTTATGTTTGTATCCTTAACCTCTATCTGAGCCGCTCTCTTTGCTTCATTTGCCATAGCCAGCTGAGTTCTCAGGTCCACCAGCTTCACGACTGTTTCCTTTAGTTGATCTTGTGATATCTTAAGCTGATGTTGGCACTTGCACAGAGTGGTCTCTAAATTTACTTTTTCTGCTTCCATCTTTTCTAAATGCGCTTCCAGTTCAGCTGTCCGATTAATCATGGCTTCCAGATCAGCTTTTAAAGGATTTTCCCCACTCTTGGTTTCAAGGCTGCTTCCACTCTCTATCTCAGGTAGTGCTGCAAGCCTCTCCATCTCAAGAAAATCATCCATAAGATCAAGATCGACTGAAGGACCAGTGAAGCTTCTTCCAATATTGTGGCATGCCTTAACCGATCTGCAGCAATCGCTTTGAATAGCCAGCAGCCTCTCCCCACTGTCTGTATGACTATCTGTGAAAGATTCAATATAAACTGACAATGCAGTAACAGACTGGTGATCATTAGGTTGTGTTGCTCTACGAGCCACTGCCTTTAGCCTACGACATTCTGCTTCTAGACTAGTCACTTTCTTTATGCTCACTAAATGTTGTTTACTAGCAGTTTCAGCAGCACAGGTGCTCAGGTCTCTCTCATGGGTGCTTAATTTTAATTCTTCAGCTTTGGAGAGGAGCTTGAGTTTAAGGATTGAGTTCTCTTTCTCTGCAGCTTCGAGCTTAGAGCGAACATCGACAAGCATAGACATGATGGCATCCGCATTGGAATTTTGAAGTTGAGAATGGAGCCTAACGAGCTGGTTCTCGAGTTCAGACTTTGTTGATTCCCATTCACAAGTTTTCTTGGCAACAGCATCATAAATCTTCCCTTCTTGCTCTTCTCTTGCTTGTCGAAGTTGTCGTAAACACTCCTTAAGGGCTCTATCAAGATGACCAACACGTTCTTCAAATACTGAATTCTTCTGCGTTAAGACCTCAATTTGTTTCTTCAGAACAAACGTTTCATTTTCAGCCCTTTCCCATCCTGGTATTTGAGCTCAAATTAATATCACTATTGAAATTAAACAAAGAGCCTTTTCAAAGAAAATTGGAGTCTCCAAAACAAGCCCTGGAACTGCTTTATAGTTGGTACAAGCATGCTCCATTACCAAATAATTTACTTTTTCAAAAAAAAAAATGCACCTTCCTCCTCCATTAACCAGCAAGAAAATATAGATGAACTGAATGAGCATATTGACAAAACTGATTTTCTTCATCAAATAAATCTATTAGTTCAACAACATACAAGCAAAACCAATACACAAACATTACAATCTAGTGATTGAGTCAGAGAAGTTTTAATATTAATATGATTGTGCGGAAACCCATTTTTAATCCTCATTTTTCCCCTTTTCCCACTGGCTGATGACACTATATGAACATGTAGTCGTACTAAAGAGAGGAAAAACGAAACAGGGGAAAAACAAAAGTAAGAATGATAACTTTAACATTCTAAGAAAAGCAATTGAAAGATAGAAAATATACTTTTTTATATCACATACAAGAGAACTGTCATGAACTGACTAATTTAAAGAAATTTTCCATTTATAATTTTATCACACAAGAAATCTATTTATAATAAACTGCTTGAATAGAAGTTACGGACTCTTCTTTGGTAGAAGTAATTCTCTCTTGTAAAGAACCTACTTTGGTACTCAAAGTAGGTTGATAACTGATATTCTACCCAATAAGGCCACTACATTGGATCCTACTTGGACGAAACGAAAGATATTGTCGATAAATAAATTATAAAAGTATGCCTTGTTCATTAATATCAAGGATACTGCCATTCAAGCTGATCCTGAGCAGCATGTCAGCTGAAAGGGAACTTTGTAAATTCAGCTTAAGCAAGTGAAGTGAATTGCTCCTTGGGATTGAACGTAATGAGCTCGGCTATGACCTTTTTATCCTCATAAATTAAGGAGAGACCTATTGGGACATATCAAGCAGCAAGGAACACTGTCAAAGCACAAAAATCTAATCCTCCCACCACTTACTTGATTGTAATGCATTCACCATGGAACGGAAAACCTCATCATAGAATTAACCCTCGTTCCTAAGAGCCTAGTTCTTACTATATAGGATACAAGGACAAACTTGTAGAGATAAAACATAATTAAAACATAATTTCAATTGCAAACGCCAAACTGACTTCTGTTGAAGAAAATATTTAAATGAATACGTGTAATCCATCTCTACCAGCATTTGATGTGCGGGTTAACATGGTAATAAAGTCAGGCAAAAGGCCTAGTTCAAGTCTCACAGCCATCCACTTATAGAAATAGTAAACATGGCGGTTTGAAGATAAAATTTAAATGAATTCACGTGGACATTTTCTAACACCTTAAGCTAGTAAATGAGATGGTTCATAGCTTCCAACTAAAGTCTCAAATGGAGAAGGGGGATTGGGAGAGTGACAGAGAGAGAAGAGATTAGATACCCATGACAGCTTCCTCTGCAACTTTAGCATGCTGTTTTACTAAATCTTCCTTGGCGTGAATGTTTAGAAGTGCTTCTGATAGTTTCTCAGATAGAGTTTTCATAGTATTGTTAAATTCTCCATCATTGGGCGCAGCTTTCGATGTGACTTCAGTTGATGGAGGGATATGATTCGCCAGTGTCTGTTACAACAACCAAACAACGATTAGAAATTCTTTCAAAAAACTCATCTTTACTCCCAATCATTGAAGGTTTTCTACCTTCTCTTTATTTGTTTATATTTTATTCTTTTAAGGGTGGGGGATTCAATGAAGAGAGAATGTTCTGTGAGGTAAGAATGAGAATAATATATAACTCTTCATGAAAGAACGGTCGGTCCATAAATGCATGCTTCTCTGAACAAGTGTTTCTGTATGTTGCAAGAAACAAGAATTCTTTCTTTTACCAGAAGGGGAAAAAAAAAATTCCGTTTTGAGTTCATTCATAGGTATACAAATGTTAAGAAAGCATAAAAAATACTGGTGAACTAAAGAATGAGAATCGGTACTTTCCATATGTTAATAATTGGAGGCAGCTATTATTAGTGGTAGCTGGATAGAATGCTTTTCAGATAGGAAAAGGAAGAGGATATGTTGTCCAACGATAGTGGATATCCACACAACGTGGTCCATTTATAGTGAAACTTGACACGTGATAATGAACAACACTAGAAGGCTTTTAGCAATTTTACCATTTGAAAATCTTAGGTGTCGAATCTTTAGCACAACTCGTATATTCGTAAGAAACTCCGAAATCAACATGAAAAATCGTTTAAGTCAAAGCCCACCTACACCTGAAGCAACCAACTCATCACATGCCTACATTCCAGCATTCTTAGCTCCTGTTTGGTAGAAATTCTTTAAAACTAATTTTTAGTCAAATATTCTCCGAATAAATAATTTTGCACGGATCCATAACTTTTCCCCACTTTTTAACCAAGTATTTTTCAAAAAAAAGGGAAAAAAATAATATATTTTTCACAAAATCTATTCTTAAAAAATCTACATTAAACAGACTCAAAACTAGAATGAAAGAAAAAACAATCCATTTAGAGATTCGAATATAATCAGAAATTGTGGAAACACTCCACAGCAGTATAATTGAATCGAAAATTAACCAAGTCATACTACAACGTATTAGATTTTCTACTTAATTCAATCCCCAAGAAAATAAACAACCAAATTTAGGAGTTTCAAATCCCTCAAAAATGCATTGATAAGTTGAGGTGATGAAATTAACTAACCTGATCATCGGAGAATCTTTCTGAATGCGATGATATTGATCCCGAGCTTTCAGTTTCACCACCGGAACTCTTCTCCGATGACCTCCTCCGCCACAGCCAACTTCTCCGATCCATGTTAGGAACAAAACTGTAGTCCCCTCGCAATTAGATAAGCTTCATCTTTAGTTTTTAAACCTCAATTTAGCTACCAGAAATCTTACTCTCCGCCATCTGTTTAATTTAAAAATTGGATTACACGTTCTGAGAATCCAAAAGAAAATGCTTATCAAATGCATAGTTTTGAACAAGAAGTCATTCAATTCGCTAACAAATCAACATAGCAAATCATCAAAGATCTTGCTTTTCCAAATAAAAGAATGAATGGATACCAGTAAAGAGAAGGAACAACGCCTCTGAATTGATTATTGTGTAGTGTGGGAATATTATATGGGTTAGGAGTAAATGTCTTGAATTTGATAATTTTCCTACGTGTTTGACTATAAAAGTATAGGAGGGAGCGTGTTTATTGAAGATGGAGACTTTCTGATAAAGATTGCGATATTCGCGCGCCTATACAAAAATAGTGGAGAAGTGGGAACCACGTAGTAGCTTACAAGCACTTAGCCCATTGGGTTGAGTTTGAAATCTATAAAAAGTTTTTGTAAAAGGAAAATTTTCCAGTAGAGTTCAAAAATCAGGTATTGATAACGGGGTGGACCCAGACTTTGTACGGGCATTTTTTTTTTTTTTTTAAAATACAATATCACATACGTAGCTTACATATTTTTATACTTTGCGAAAAGTCAAGGTGGAAGTAAGAATTTTGTGAAAAACTAAAATTGAAATTTACGACAGTAATTCGTTAATCTAAACATCCAGTTTTTAGTACAGTGTCAGTCAAGAACAAACTCAATTATGCCTAAGAGGCCAAATTTCGTTAAACTTCGAAATTGACCAAATCTTGAACTCTAAAAAAAATCATCCATCTAAAATGCTTATTTCAATGACACTCTCGTCTTCCCAATCACATTAAACCCTCAACATCATACAAAATCAAATATATAGGGGATGTTTGATGGATATTATTGATGAAAGAATTATTTTAAATAGTGATATGATAAGAAATATATGGTTAAAAAGTAAAGAAAAGTTATTGATGTGATAAAAATATTATTTTATTGAAAAATGTGTTATTGAAAATGAGTTTTGAAAGAATGTGTGTCAAACGGGGACATAGTATAGGAAAAAATAATCAACTTATTAATTTCAATCAAATATCATATATGACGAATAAAATCGAACATTAGACCTCCAAAGATTACAAGGATCCAGCATGTAAGCTGTGATCTTATATCTGAAAACTCTACCGTTGCTTGCAATTTTTACTTCTCCAAAATGTCCAAAAAAAAATTTACAAATTCTAAAGATTCTTTCATTTTTGAAACCATTCTCTCTCTATTTCTTCACCACTAAATTCATATTTGATGAAGCCAAAACTCAATAATTCATTTCGCTAACAAACGCATAATAATGTAAGCTCACCAAATGAACACTCATTGGGTGTAAGCAAGAAGCTTACATTTGAAAAAAAGAAAAAGTAACTATAGAAGTTTTGAGAAAGAAGTCAAAAATTTATGTGGGGTCACTTGACCCCACATGAACCCATGTTGGTTTTGCCCATGATTGATAATATTTAGCCCCTGTTTGTCTTACATTTTTACAAATATTGTTTTCTACAGTAAACAATCTTAACCATATATTCACTCAATAAAATATTTCACATACAAACCAATAAAGTTATTTTAAATTTCAAACACACATTCTCCAAAAAATACAATTCCTTACTCCATTTTTCTACCAATAATGGTAGACAAACAGGTTCTTAATAGAACCCCACTCCCATTAGCTCAACCCACCCCAATCCCAATTTTCACAGCCACATTGTCGTCCAACTCTCTCTCTACAAGATTTTGTTCCTTACCATCATAGCACACACTGACAGGCCATCAAACTCGGAGTTGGCGTCATCGTCCTCAATTCTTTACACCGTAGACGGTAGCCAACTCATTTCCTCATTCTCATGGTAGCAGCCTTGATTTTGTGTGCATGGATGTGCATATCAAGGTCTCCAATGGGGTACTTTTCAAATTGGCCACATCAACGTGGTCATTTTTTCACTTTGACCAAATTTTTTAACAATTCACCACAATGACCTTTCAATGCGTAAAAGACAAAATTACCCTTAAATATGTTATACAATTACAAAAATATGGTATTGTT